AAAACCATTCTGAACCTGGACAAGTTTTCAGTAATAGGCAGAGTGTTATTCAGCAATCTCCATTGAAACAACCTGATCTGAATAGGGAGCTTATTATTCCAAAGGTGTTTAGCAGTGAAAGTACATGATAGTTCTTCCCTTATTTCTTCATATGCAGATTTAAGAGAAAAATTCCCATTGTTAGTAGGCTCCCAAAAGATACTTCCATCATTGTTCACACCACAAAGATTTTCTGCAAATTCATTAACAGAACAAATTCTTCTCCAGATAGGAGAGTCATACACTTTAGGGTACATGTCTTGACCCCTAGGGTATCTAGCACATAAAAACTTTGCCCAAATTGAATCCCCAGTCTTCCATTTCCACCATAATTTCAGGGTAAAACTTTTCTCAATGTCTGAAAGGCTTCTAATACCAAGACCACCTTCTTCAGTAGGAAAACACAGATGAGCCCATTTCAGCCAATGATACTTTATCTTACCAGCAGAAGAACCCCAAAAGAAAGTTGTCATCTTTTTTTCCAAAATATTAATAATTTTTTTAGGGAGTCTGTCAGCAGCCAGGATATGAAGAGGAATAGTATTCAAAACATGCTTAATCAAGATCAGCCTCCCTCCCATAGATAAGTGACTATTATTCCATGCAGTAAGTTTAGCATCAAATTTATGAACTAAATCCATACAATAGCTGACTCTATTAACCCCTTTGTGCAGTGGAACTCCCAGATATTTTACAGGTAAAGCAGATTCCTTCATGCCAAGAATATTGGAGATCAGACCAGCTCTAGCTTTTCTCCCACAGAGAAAAGAGCTCTTATGAAGGTTAATGGATTGACCAGAAGCCTTTTGGTAAGTTTTCAGAAACCTGTTGAAATTAATTAAGAATCTAGATTCCCCATTTAGGAAAATAAGAAGATCATCAGCAAATCCCAAATGAGATAAAGGATAACCATATGAACCCATCCAATATTGCTTGATAGATCCATTATCCATATGCCATTTCAAACCCCTTGAAAAGGCTTCAGAAGCCAGAATAAACCCCTTCCAAGTGGGTCACCTTGCTTAACACCTCTTTTAGGTTTGAAAAAACCCTGTGGAGCTCCATTAATGAGAATAGAAAGAAAAGTAGATTTCAGATTGCTTACAATAACCTGAATAACATTCTGAGAAAATCCAAATCTAGCCATAATATCTGTAATAAACCTCCAAGAAAGCCTATCAAAAGCCTTGGCCATATCCAACTTCACAATCACATTAGAGCCTCTAACCTTTTTGTTTAACGAGTGGATCATTTCCTGAGCAATCAGAACATGATCCACCATATCTTTATTTTTCATAAAGCCAATTTGTTCAGGAGATATAAGTTTAGGCAATAACACAACCATTCTGTCAGCTAACACCTTAGAGCACACTTTTCCAGAAAAATTGGAAAGACAAATGGGCCTAAAATCACCAAAGGAGTCCGGGTTATTAATTTTAGGAATCAGAACAGCAAGACTGCTAGATATCCCCCTAGGGATATTAATACCCATAAAGAATTCTTGTACTGCTTTTACCAAATCAGCCCCAACAATGTGCCAGCATGTTTTGTAAAACTTACCATTAAAACCATCAGGCCCTGGGGCCCCATTCTGATTAAGCTTCCAGACTGCTTCTTTAATCTCCTGCTCTTGTGGAAGTGTTAATAAAAATTGATTATCCTCTTTTGTAACCAAGTGTGGAATAAATTGCAGAATTTCTTCTGAATCAATCTCTGGATCAACTGAGTAGAGCTTTGAGTAGAAATCAACAGCAGCATCTCCAATTTCAGGTACAGATGAGACCACCTCCCCCCCATCCTTCTTAATAGCTGTAATAGACTGTCTCCTGTGTCTTGTCTTAACAAAGTTATGAAAGTAATTGGTATTAGCATCTCCCTGTTTGAGCCATTTGATATGTGCCTTCTGCTTCCAGTATTTACTCTCAAGCTTGAGTTTGGACATATATAGAGCTCTAAGGTGTTGCCAATTAGTTCTGTTCTCTTCTGTAGGAGAGTCTTGAAATTTTTTCTCTGCCTGCATAACCTCAGCCTCACACTTGTTTATGTCATCAAAAATATTACCAAAAGTCTCTGCATTCCACTTTTTCAAATCATTTTTCAAGCATTTAAGCTTGAAGACTAGACCTCTCATGCCTCCTCCACTCTGACTTTTTCCCAGCTGGCTTGGACAGTAGACATAAAAGTAGGATGATGGACCCACATATTCTGAAATTTAAATGACCTGGGCCCAGTGTGTTCATCAAAAGAGCATCTAATAAGCAGAGGGTTATGATCAGAAGGGGTTTTGTCTAAAACATCAATCTGAATCTTTTTGAAAAGGTCATTCCATTTTGCATTAATAAGATATCTATCCAATCTCCTACTGACCAAACCCCTAGCCCTAACCCCTGACCATGTGAAAGCAGGCCCAGAAAAGTTAGGTTCAAGAAGATCACAAGCAGCCACACAACTAGAAAACTCCATCATACTAGTTAAGTTAGGCATAGAACCTCCCTGATGTTCCCCATGTGCTAAAATAGCATTAAAGTCACCCCCTAAAATCCAAGGGTCAGTCATATTGTTGGAAATGTTTATCAGAGAGTCCCATAATTCTCTTCTTGTAAGATAAGTGTGCTTACCATAGATCACAGTAAACCATCCTTCTAGATTACCTCTCTTAACCTTCATATGAGTGAACTGGGAGTGAAAAGTAACTTCAGAAATATCCACCTCTTTAGGGTCCCAAAAAACCCAAATTTTATTCTGGTTAGAAGCTAAAACATTAGGAAGACCAAAGACAAATTTATAAGAGTCTGCCTTAGTGAAATCAATAATAGGTTCAATAATAGCTAAAATGTGGACCTGCCATTGCTTAGTCAAAGAGATCAACCTAGCTTTGGCAGAATCCATCCCTCTGACATTCCATGTCAAACAATTCATTTAATGGATGTTGGGGAATCTTGTGAAGCCAATTTACTGTGATGAGATCCAGTAACTGGCAAAACCAATCCATCTTTCTTCTTAGCTGCATTTCTGGTAACCCTAGGGGTGACTTGAGCATCTTTCCTTTTTGTATGTCTTCTGTGAGTAACCATAGTAAACTCTTCTTCATCACTTTCAGGCTGTAGGCAATCAGCATTGGTGAGATCAACAATACCTTCACCATGCAATTCAGACTCTTCCCTTCTAATCTTGTTGGCCATATCCTCCACTTTAGCTGCAATATCAGGCCACCCTACCTCCCAAACATCCCTGGAGATGGTCCTATTATTTTCACTATCAGAGCAGTATTCCTTAGAAGACAAAAGGTAATCAAAATCTGCCTCTTGTTGTAATCGTTTTAACTGAAAGTCATCCCTAATGGTATCAATGTGTTGCTTATGAGAGATCCCTGCTATTTCTTTCAGCAAAAGAGTCTTTATACTGTTTAGATCCAACAATATTAACATCTTCTATATTTTCTTGCAGGTTAACAGGTTGATGTTGTTCAATGTCTGTGTCATCTTCAACAATGACAGGCAACTGCTGAGAAGAGGAAGGCATCAGCATATGCTTGTTATTAACTTTAGCTGAAGAGTCTAACATAACTGCTTTTCCTTTCTCTTGTTGTGTAAATTTACTATTCTTGGACTGCTCCCCCTTGGATTTTTCCACCCAAATGTCCTTAGGCAAAGAGATTGCTTTAGGAGCTTCTACCTTAGAAACAGTGTTAACAACTACACAAGGTCGTTTAGAGCATTTAGCCTGCGAGTGCCCCAGATGAAGGCAGAAAGTGCAATATTCTGGCATATGCTCATAGATAATAGGCTGTGCATACCCATAACTTCCACAGTTGATCCACACCTTGTGTGGCATCTCCCTAGTTAGATCAAGTTCAATGCAAACCCGTGCCACCGAAGGCCTAGATAAATTGGCCGTTGCTGAATCAATTTTTAGGGGTTTGCCAATTAAACCGGCAATATCAAAAAGAGCTCTCCTATCCTGGAGATGAAGAGGGAGACCTTCCAATGCAATCCAGACCGGCACCACCGGGGATTCCACGTTTGGTCGAAAATCAGGAGTCCACTTAGTAACCCTCATCTCAAAACCTTGAATGTTCCACCTTTGACGATTCCAACACCGGAAATAGTCCTCATCAGAATCAAATCGAATTAAAATATGTTTTTTTTTCAAAACACCCAAATGAAAAGCACCCTTAAAACCAATAATTTCAAAGGATTTGCGAATCTTGTCCAAGCTAGGTCGCCCTTTGTAGAAATATCCAATTAATGATTTCCGATGTTTATCAGCTAAAATAGAGATGTCGCTATCCGAAAAAGTGATTGCTGGTAAACCTTTGAAGCGTGAAGGTGTTTTGACCGAAAGCGATCCAGATGGTTTGTTGATGACAGCCTCTGCGAAAGATTTCCCAACCCAAACGGGAGGTGGAGGAGGCTCCGGGGAGGGAGCCGCCATAGCACAGCTAGGGTTCCGTCAGTAAAGTTAAACAGTAAAAAGTCGCTCTATTTGAGTGTCTCATTCTTGCATTCTTCTTCACACACCAATGAAATGCTTATTTTGATGAATTCAATTCTACTGCCAACGATCTTAGTGTGCTTCTTCCATAAATAGGGATGTCTCTGGTCTTTTCAAGGTCAATCTGGATTCTTTTTCTACCAACATTTCCCTTCTTTTTTGACATGAAATATATCCCTTGCCCAACTTTCAATTGTATCTGCATTTTCTTCTATATTGTAGCTAATGCACGCCTTGAAACATTGACTTCGGATGCCACTGCCTTGATAATACCACCCTTAAGTTTACCGTTTACTAACTTGGCTAAAAGGCTCTCAAGTGCTTTCACTTTGTCTATCACGTCCCACATTGCGTCCGTGCCACGTAGATAACCACCGTACAACCCAACAAAGATAACCGCAGTCGTTCCCGTTAAATTGTACAAGGCATCCGAAAAATTCATACACCAATCCAGTCAGTAAACACATATAAGCAACATCAATATTAAATTAAACAAGTGCAAAATACAACTGTTTTGAATTTAGGCCACAAGTGTCAAGTACAGGCACACAGGCCTTAAAACGTTTACAAAACACTAGTTTAGAAATATCCCATTAGCAGTTACATTTTATTTGAAAATAGGAACATGAAGCACGAACCACGTCTTCTGTTTAGAAAAATCTCTCGAACAATGGTGCATGAAGCAGATTCTAATCTCGACCTGTAACAATAGTGAGGGCCCCCAGAGGGGTCAATACTCCACATAAATTAAAGTAGGACTGGTGACATGCAAGCTTTATAATTGATAACTAACGTTTCAAGTATATAAGACCATAAAATAGGTGATACATATACATATAAGGGCATAGTCTATACTACCCCACAAGATTATATCCATAGTATATACTTGTAAAAATATCCGGCTCGAAAGCCATTTGGTTTAAATCAAAACCATTATAAGGATGCAGTCCTCGGACTCTCACCCTTTCCCTTAAAGTAAACCCCCAGATGTTTAGTCCGTATGATCTACCATACAACTGTAACTATTGAGTGTTATTCTAATCTTTCTTGACCCTGGGTCACCCTCCCATACCCATACACGTTAAATTGGACGTTCTTGGTCCTGGGTTTGACTCACCCATACTAGAAATATTATGTTGGACGTTCCTGGTCCTGGGTTTGACCAGTGACGGATCTTGAACATTAATCTCGAAGGTTCAAATTTATTTTACAAAATTCTGAGTGTTCATATACATATATAAATTGTTTCACTACCACTCGTATACATGTATTTTCACACTATTGGTTAAAAAATTTGGGTGTTCACAAGAACACTTTTGAACAAGCATAGGCCCGCCAATGGGTTTGACTAGCCCATACTAGAAATATTATGTTGGACGTTCCTGGTCCTGCGTTTGACTAGCCCATACTAGAAATATTATGTTGGACGTTCCTCGTCTTGGGTATGACTAGCCCGTACTAGAAATATTATGTTGGACGTTCCTAATCCTAAGTTTGACTAGCCCATACTAGAAAAATTTTGTTGGATGTTCCTGGTCCTGGATTTGACTAGTCCATACTAGAAATATTTTGCTCGACATTCCTGGTTATGGATTTCTCACCTATCCCTATTCTATCATACATTTCATCTAAGTATGACTAGCAATAATATTAATTTCCACCGGACCCTGCTTGGTCCGGTTACTATTCAATTTGTTCCATGAGTCACGAGTACAAGAGTCCAACTAATTCATATGTTGGACGATACACCCCTAGTCATAAAGGTTTACTATATTCTCCCATTAAATGGATAACTTTGCTATACTCCCCCATTTGGGACCTATGGCATAAGTTTCGCTCAAGGATCGTGATACCCTTCACACAGGATGGCGATATCAAGTCATATGGTCGTAACTTTTGATCAGAAGGCTCAATTCTAGATGTTTATGTGCCATTAAATGCATCTCTAAGATATCTACAACTCTTGAGAAGACCTCAATTCATAATTATGGACATACAGAGAGATATGGGACTTAGACCATACTGGTCTGCAAGAATGGCGGTACTCTTCGCACAAGATGGAGGTACCGAGTAATATAATCATAACTTTTGATACAATGGTTCAAATCAAGATATTTTAGTTCCATTAGATGCATGTATAAGAGCTATAAAACTCTTATGAAAACCTCGAGTCCTAAATATGAACATACAAAGATATATAGGACTTAGACCATACTGGTCTACAAGAATGGAGGTACTCTTCGCACAGGATGGCGGTACTGAGTAATATGATTATAACTTTTGTTATAAGATACCTAAAACTGTTATGAAGACCTAGAGTCCTCAATATGAACATACAAAGAGATATAGGACTTGGACAATACTGAGGTTTGCGGTGAAGATTGGATGCATCCCTTCTTCGTCCCTGCCATAAACGACCACCCCAAAACGATCCCAAAACAGTCCACTACATCCCAATTTTGTAAAGCGGGAGATTTTAACATACGAAGAATCAAATTTTCATGACCGCAGGTAATTGTATACAAGACCCAATAGTTACAAAGCATAAAGTCGTCATATCGCCTGGTATGGCGTGAATTGCAGCGGCTCTAGCTGCGATAATCCTTCTCCAAACTCAAGCTCTATCCCCTCCTCTTCCGACTTCAAACGGGGTGAAAATGATGAAGATGAAGTTCACGTGTAAACTCTTAGGCCACTGTGTATGATGTGCCACCATTGTGTAGATCGTAGGTTTATTTTTAGCCTTTAATAGGTCTATTAAATGGGCCTTAAGCCCTTTCTCCCTATATTTGCTCAACTTTCCAATTTATGTCAATTTTACTTCATGGGCATATCCTTAGTCTGAAATAAATTAATATTGCGACATAAAATATTATCATGTCCCAGATAAATATAAATAATTTAATATTTCTAATTTAATCACTAGGATAACTTGATGTTATCTTATTCATTGTATTTCTCGAAATTTTTATTTAGCGAAAAAATTAAATCCGGGAGACAGTGTGAGAAGTTCACCCCCCAAATGGGATTTCGTCACTGAAATCTACGAGACTAATCAAGAGAAATAGATACTCATCTTTCATAAGGCTTTTGTCTCCCATGTTTCCGGCCTCCTCGGCTTGGTCAATTTTCCAAATCACTTTCACCATCGAAACCATTTTGCTCCTCACTTTCTTTGTCTGTCTGTCCACTATTTTTACTGATTGCACCGTATATTGTAAGTATTCTCGAATTTCTACGTGTGGCTTCTCGAGGATATATGACGGATCTCATACATATTTCTTAAGCATTGAAACATGAAATTGATCTCATACGTATATCTTTTCCAGCTCCGGAGTCGGTTGAAGTTGATATGTCACGGCCCCGGTCCTTTCCCAGATCTTAAATGAACCGATGTACCGCAGGTTGAGCTTACCTCATTTAAGGAATCAAATAATCCCCTTCCGAGGCGACACCCTCATGAATACCTCATCCCCAACTTCAAACTCCAATGCCCTCCGACGTTTACTCTCTAACTCGGAAATCATAACCAGACCCCGTTTGCATCCATTCTCAGACTTCTCGAAATTCCTTGTTGATATCATGACGTTGCTTGATCTCTTCAAGCAAGGTGGGTCTCACCTTAAACCTATCCACAAGGGCCCCATCTATTGATACCTCCACACGTGCCCTCAATGCCTGCAGGCATGTGTGCGACACCCCCGATTAGCTCTTTCTGCTAAGGGCATCTACTACTATGTTAGCCTTTCCTGGGTGATAGTCAATGATCAAGTTATAGTCCTTGATCAACTCTATCCACCTCCTCTGCCTCATAATCAGCTCCTTCTGCCTGAACACATACTTTAAACTTTTGTGGTCGATGTATATGTGACACGTCTCCCCATAGAGATAGTACCTCCAAATCTTCACCGTGCGCACGAACACTACGGCTCCCAACACAGGATCATGTGTGAGATAATTAACCTCATAATTCCACAGCTGACGTGAAGCTTAGGCAATCACCCTCCTGATCTGCATCAGAACACATCCAAGCCTTGGTTGCTAGCATCGTTGTATATGTCATAACCCATCCCTTGCACTGGTAACACCAATGTCAGTGCCTCTGTCAATCTCTCCAAAACCGGATCATAGGTAATTTGGTAGTATTTTTTCCAAACTGTATTTAACCAAAACTGATAAAAATCAAACAAAATCGAACCGAACTAAAGAAAATCAATAAAAACTTCATATATTATTAAAAAAATTACAAATCCAAACGAACAGAATTGAACTGAACCGAACCAAACCAAAAATTTGTATGGTTTTTGTTTGGTAAAAATTCTTCCAACCCGTTCTAAACCAAAACGAACCAAAATGAATAAAAACCGAACCGCAAATCGATATACTCACCCCTAAGAGCATCTCCAATGGGAGGATGCATTGCAGCTGATGTGGCATAGGAAAGAGATAGAGATAGAATAAATATTTGGATGAAGTGGTGTGTAGGGAAAAATGAAAAAGATGAGAGAGATAGAGGTAAAAATGGGCCAAGGTCTATGACAAGGTCCATATATAGACCTTACACGGGATTCGAGGAGGAAAAGTTGATGAAAAGTGGATTAAAAGTGATATAAAAAAATAAAAATGAAAATAAATTAGGAATACGTGGGACCTACACATAAAAATTGTGAGATAAAAAATGGGACCTATGCCTAAGGGTGTGTAAGAGACCCAGACCTTTGCATCGGAGTTGCTCTAATATCTTCGCTATAGCATTGACCTTTCATGTGCTTTGGAAATTGGAATTATATCTCATCCAGAAATAGCGAAAAATCATGATAGTGAGTGAGTAATAATAAACTAAAAATCCGCGTTCGTGAAATCATATATATTGAGTTTTGCACAATATTATAAATTATGCATTTTAAGGTGTTTGATTAGTGTAATATATGGAGAACTTACATATATTAACCGAAAAGGCCACAAGATTTAATCACCAGTTCTTGGCGTTTTCTCTCACTATTAATTTCTTCAAGAATGACAACAAGTGAAACAATGAAGGCATAATCAACATTTGGACGAATAGACATCGTGAAATTGTCCTTTCCAAGATACGCACTAAAGAAACTTTGACTTCTATGCATCTGCATGTAAATTGGTGACAATCAATTATATACTGATCAGGTTGAGCCTGTTTGGTAAACAACGATCCCACGATCATCTGAATATATTCAGCTTGATCACCTAATTGTGTTAAGGGTTTGCATGAAATAGATATTACCTCCGTCCCAAAATTAATTTTCCATTTCGGATTACGATGCTTGACCGACGATAAAACAACTCGATTCATGTTCTTACTCAGATTACTTTTAGTAAATAAAATTTACATATTGAGAAACTAAATTAAAACAGCTACAAAGGCTGATAAAAAAAATATAAATTTGATAAAAATTTGATATATAAAACATAAGATTAATAGTCATTTAAGTTGACCATGTGAATAGTGACTGTGAAGTTCATTTTAGGACGAAGGGAGTATATTGGTAAAACGGTTCATTGTTATATGAAATGTTAAAAATAATACCACATATTTGTATCTTTTGATTTCTTGAAGTTATATAACACACACCACAATAAACTTAAAACTTGATAATGCATTATTGTTGTTATTATATTGCATTGTCACTTTTCATATATTTGTAAGTAAGAAAAATATCCGGGCTGTGAATAAAGTATAATAAGTATCCACTACAAAAAAACACGCCGTTTGTCACGGATTTTTGTCACGAATTCCGGCCGTGACAAAGTTGTCACGGGCTTTGTCACGGAATTTTGGGATTTGTCACGAAAAATATTTGTCACGGATTTATCCGTGCAAAATCCGTGACAAAATATTGTCACGGATTTTGTCACGGATAAATCTGTGACAAATATTTTGGTGTACAGTCAGAACAGTGAAGTTCATAAGGAACATCTAAAGAAGGTATTATAGATTCTGGAAGAAAATCTATTGGTGGCAAACATGAAGAAGTGCACTTTTGGGCAGAAGCAATTGGCTTATCTGGTACATCTAATTCCCGATCAGGGTGTGTTGCAGTTGATCCCAGTAAGATACAGGCTGTTCAAGATTGGCCCATACCCTCTAATTTGAAGAGTGGGGATTTTTGGGATTAATGGGGTATTATAGAAGATTTGTGAAGGGATACAGTAAAATCGCTCTTCCTTTAACTAACATGTTGAAGAAAGATGGATTCAACTGGGATCAGGAAGCTATTCAGGCCTTTGAGCAATTGAAGAGTGCCATGACTACCTTTCCTGTGCTAGCTGTTCCTAATTTTGATAAAAGTTTTGTGATGGAGGCTGATACTTTAGGGAAGGGCATTGGAGCAGTGTTAATGCAGGACAGAAAACCAGTAGCGTACATGAGTAAAAGATTATGTGAAAGAAATCAAAACAAATCAGTTTATGAGCGGGAACTAATGACAATTGTGTTAGCTGTGCAAAAGTGGAATACTTTTATTAGGGAGGTGTTTTTAAATACACACTGATCAAAAAGAGCCTCAAGTTTCTGACAGAACAGAGGGTGATTGTAATACCCGAGATTAATTTAAGAGGATTAATAGTACTACTCATACAAACAGAGGTGCATCTCGTTTTAAGAGAGCTCATCACCCAATAACTCCAAAGTTAAGCGTGCTTGCACGGGAGTAGTCTTGGGATGGGTGACCCCCTAAGAAGTTTCTCAAAGAGCGCGGTAAAGGCTCATGGTGGTTTGTGAGGACAGTAATAGAGGTCCGAAGAGAGTCAGGAGTAACTACCTCGGGTCATGCGGGGCTGGGGTGTTACAGGTTGTATCAGAGCAACCCTGCGACAGTGTGCTGACCCGTTGGATATCGGGTGGGCACTTAGCGGGGTAAGATTTTGGGATTTGATCGAGATTGGTTTAAGGGCGCAACGGACAGATCCGTGACAAATCCGTGACAAATTTCAAAAAAACTCAATTATTGATTTTCCAGCGGTAACCTTTAATAATACGGTACGGGAAAAGATTTGTCACGGATTTATCCGTGACAAATCCGTGACAAATTTCAAAAAAACTCAATTATTGATTTTCCAGCGGTAAACTTTATAATACGGTACGGAAAAAGATTTGTCACGGATAAATCCGTGACAAAGCCGTGACAAATTTTTTTATATAACCCAACTCCATCGTCCATTACAATTGCAAGACCAACAATTATCAGTTCAAAAATTCGTAGATTCGAGTGATGTAGTATCGGTTTAAAGATTGAATGATGTAATCCGTCAGTTCATCATTTTCCGAGTTTATGCAGATAAGATATGTAATTTTAACTAATTTCTTTTAATTGTGTGATAAATTAATTATTAGCTTAATAATTAATTATTATTAGTGAGGTTAGGATTCTTTTTTCTTTATATAATAATTAATTATTAGCTTAATAATTAATTAGTGAGGTTAGTTGTTCATTTATTTAAACTATTAACGTAATTTAGTGAGGTCATGTTAATTTTCATATTATTAACAATATATTATTAAACTATTAACGTAATTTAATTAGTTAAATTTAAATATAAATATTAATTAGTTAAATTATTGTTATTATTAATGCATAATAATTTAGGATGTGTAGTGATGATTTAAGTATTAGCTAGCTTATTATAGATTAATTAATTAGTGACTTGTAGTGATTTAATTAATTAGTTAGCTAGCTTAATTATTAGGTTATTAATTATCACCAATTATTATTTATTAGCAATTATTGTTAATGGGATGCATAATTAATATAGCTAGCTAGGATTGAAACTTTATTATTATTTAGTTTAGTGTGAATTATTATTGTGAATTATTAATGAGATAATATTTAACAATAATATTAGTTAAATGTAAATTAATTAACTAATTAATTAAGTTAAAACATTGAGGAAATGGGTTTAGAATTTGATGAGTTGATAATATTAGTTAGATTTAAATATTAGTTAATTGATCAATGATGATGCATGATTAGGTTTAATTTGTTTATTAATTAGTTAATTATTATTAATGCATAATTTAGGATTTGTAGTGATTTAAGTTAGGATTCAAACTTTATTAGTTAAGTGTGAATTATATATTATTGTGAATTATATTTAACAATATTAGTTAAATGGAAATTAACTAATTAATAAGTTAAATTAGTTAATTATTGTTAATGGGATGCATAATATATATAGCTAGGGTTGAAACTTTATTTTTATTTAGTTTAGTGTGAATTATTATTGTGAATTATTTTTGTGAATTCACAATAATAATTCACAATATTAGTTAAATGCAAATTAACTAATTAATTAAGTTAAAACATTGAGGAAATGGGTTTAGAATTTGATGAGTTGATAATATTAGTTAGATTTAAATATTAGTCAATTGATCAATGATGATGATTAGGTTTAATTTGTTTATTAATTAGTTAATTATTGTTAATGCATAATTTAGGATTTGTAGTGATTTAAGTTAGGATTCAAACTTTATTAGTTAAGTGTGAATTATATATTATTGTGAATTAATGATATTTAACAATATTAGTTAAATGGAAATTAACTAATTAATAAGTTAAATTAGTTAATTATTGTTAATGGGATGCATAATATATATAGCTAGGGTTGAAACTTTATTTTTATTTAGTTTAGTGTGAATTATTATTGTGAATTATTATTGTGAATTATTAATGAGATAATATTTAACAATAATATTAGTTAAATGTAAATTAATTAACTAATTAATTAAGTTAAAACATTGAGGAAATGGGTTTAGAATTTGAGTTGATAATATTAGTTAGATTTAAATATTAGTTAATTAATTGATCAATGATGATGATTAGGTTTAATTTGTTTATTAGTTAATTATTGTTAATGCATAATTTAGGATTTGTAGTGATTTCAGTTAGGATTCAAACTTTATTAGTTAATAATTAAAACGATTAATGCCATTAACATATTACTATTAGTTAAATATTAGTAAATTAACGCTTTTAGTTAATGTCACAAATTAAAGTTGGTTAATTCAAATTATTAATGCCACAAATTAAATAATGTACTGCTTTTAGTTAATTAATAATATTAATGTACTTATATATTATTTTGATTATAATATATATACAGGCATAATGTATAGACAAAACAGAAGTTGGATGTACCAAAAACATCGCGATAACTATGGAATACGCAGTGAATTTTTGAATGGTGTTGAAGATTTTATTAAATTTGCACAAGAACAGAAGAATTATATGGATGGAGATAAAATCAGATGTCCATGTACAAAGTGTAAAAATCACGCCTATGGATTAATTTCCGTGACAAAAACGTTATCACGCCCCTGGTGTCACGGATTTTGTCCGTGACAAATCCGTGACAAAAAATCATTTGTCACGGATTTTTTGAACTACCGTCCGTGACAAAATCCGTGACAAACGGCGTGTTTTTTTGTAGTGATCGTCAAATGTGAAATTTCATTGTATTATTACATAGATATTATTTTATGAGTAAAGATATTAATTAGTTAGACTTAATAAATACCTAGGATCAAGTATATGTGATTTCAAGTATAATCACGGCTTATGAATAAAGTATAATCACGGCTTATGAAAAATAACTATGTTTTTGTCATGTTTGGGGTGAAGAGAATAATTCTTCTTGTATTTAATCAAATGAGCCGAGCTCATATATATATATATACAATTACAATGAGAAGGATAAGCTATGTACGTAACTACTTGATAAGATAAGTATTGGAGCAACTAACTAAGGATAAATACAAGAATAATATATGTGCAGATAATACATTATAATAAATATAAATTATGCTTTAATATGGGGTAACTATTCTTTCCAATAATAATTATTTTAAAGTACTACGTAGTATTTTTTAAAAATATGAATATAATAATTTAATACTTCCCTCATTCCAAAAAGATTTTTCAAATTACCTTTTCTTATTCAATGGTAGTCAACTTTGATCAATGAAATTTTTAATACGGGAAGTTATTTTGAACATGAAAATTATTTAAAAGTGTTCCTTATTAAAATGATTTTTATAAAAGTATAAAATTTATAAATTATATACAAATATAAAAAATATAATCATTATCCAGGATTTGTAATTATTAACCAGGAAAAGTTTATATGACAAACCTTTTTGAGACAAAGGTAATATTAAAATAATTATTTAAGTTGATATGCATTTCATGTAGAATGTTACAACTAAAATATCATATAACGGGGATTTTGTAGGATAAAATGTATTATAAAATTTAAAAATGAATATGCTACCTCAACAAAATACTCCATCGCCATTTCTAATTTCACTGTTATGATGCTGAGCTCCTAAATGTTACCAAACAAATAGTTTACCAATTTATTTGGACTGTATTAAGCATATATTTCCGTTAGAGGGTTGTTTAAATTCCTCAAAAGTTAGTGAATTATCATTCACAAAGGCATGATTCTATCTTACTAAACCAAGTCTTGATCATCGAATTGAAGAAAAAGATATATAATTTAAGATAATGAATTAAATCTATCACCAACCTGAGCAATCATAGTCTTAGTCCCTCCGATGAAAATGTCACAAGAAGTTTCACAACAACTGCCTTTGACATAGAAATCACATACACCATTACCTTCTTTGTCCATGTTATGTGCCATGAACACTTCAAGTTTTGTCTTGGAATCAGATGTGACTTGAATTAGTGATGATTGTCTAACAGTGAAGAGTACATCATTTTCATCTGTGCTATCTCCTCTGTATGCTATCCATCTTCTATGTGCAGTTAGTAACTGCAAGTATATACTCCTAGTAACTCATACTATGTCATATGTGTATGCGTTTTTAATTAAATTCATCACAATCTTTAGGTCTTGCAATTTAGGTTTACGACGCTAACAAATAACGTAACGATGCACCTTTTCACGATGCTCGAAAATAGATTTATTTACCAAAATGTCACTACACTTCTCAGTTTTCATGAGAATGACAATTTTTATTTGTATATCGTTTAATATACTTAAGTGCTTGATCAAATAGACAAATACAATACCTAATCGCTTGACGCATTAATATGAATGTGAATGATTTTATTTGAACCAATGTCTATATATACTATCAGGTCCGTCCTTTCAGACGCAAATGGATAAGATCAAATGATTGTGACCATTCAATAAGGTAAAGATTATTCAAGCAATCACCTTTTCCATTAGATTCAAATGCTCAACTCATCAAGAGCAGATCCTTGATTCACTTTAAAAGAAAAAGGTATTTTATCAATTCAGGACCCAAAAGATAAATGTATTATCAATTCGGGATCTGAAAGATGAGATCTATCGGTATAGGACCCGAATGATGAAAAACTATCAATCTAGGACCTAAAATTTCATAGGTTTTGATTTATTTAAATTTTTATTAATTCCATCGCTAATTTTTGATAAACTTTTCTTCGCAACAGTTTATTAGTTTCATAAAACTAAATAATATCTAATAATCTTAAGATAAAAAAATTAATAAAATTTCGGACAACTTAGGTCCTAAATTGATAATTTACAATCATTCAAGTCCTAAATTGATAGTTTTCCATCATTCGGGTCTTATATCGATACATTTCATCTTTCAGATCCCGGATTGATAATTCATCTATCTTTCGGGTCCTGAATTGATAAAATTCCGAAGAAAATATATTTTCTGAATCCAGAATATTGTCTTCTCTTACGATGTAGAATTGTTTTTCCATTGTCATTTCTTTTTTCCTTTTGAATTTTGAACTATTCGACTTTAGTATTTTAAAAAAGGGGTACTGATTAGTGATTACACATAATATTCATTCCTACTTCACCAATCATGTTAGTGTGCCTCTAATTAATATAAAGTAAAAAAATTGATAAGTATTATGTTGAAAAACTAAAATAACTTTTTTAATTTAAATGTCAATGATTAAATAAGATTAACAAATTTTGATCCTTGAAGTGAACATATTATTTTTGGTAACAACTCCGGAACCTTTCCAAAAAAAGGTATCGTACCTATCATTCATTTCATTGGACCACATCACTTTATCATTTTTAATTTAGATCTAAATAATTCAACTGCTACATTCTCATTGGTCCATGTGGACAAAGGTATGGTACCTTATGGGTACCATAGAATCAACCATTATTTTTTTGAAGTGGAGGAAACAATGAGGTAAAGTATACTATGAAGCTAGCTAAATTAATTAAGAACTTCACCGTTGAGGAATCAATTTAAGGCTTTAAACATCATGCACTTGAACTTTTATATGTTACTATTGTTTAATTTGTTAAAATATATAAAACTCTTGCAAACACAACATTGTCCAAACTTAGTATACAAATAAATATAAAAAAACTAAAACTCACAACCTATGATAGTATAAGGGGGTGTTTGGATTTGATTTTTAAAACTGCTTCTACTCCTTCAGAGAGCACAAGCAGAAGTTGGGATGTTTGGGTAAAAGTGCAGAAGTGATTTTGATGCTCTAATTTACTCCTAGAATCAGTTTTTTTAGAAGTTGGGGTGACCAGCTTCTGAAAACTGATTCTGATTCTCCTTCTGCTTTAAAAAAAGAAACACAATCAGAATTAGTTCCAAACACCGCCTAAGTCTTCAAACTTTCTAGTCATAGATTGTTACTTTTCTGAACAGGTTTTTGGTTGATAGCTAACATATTTTTACATCATTAAATTAATAAAATTTCTATATTAAAATTAAATGATACTCCATAATTCTCTTTATCTCTTTCACATGACACCTATATAAGATAAATCACATGTTCACCTTCAAGATGCTTTAGATAGAGCTAGCCACTAACTAATTAAGAGCACGTTTGGTTAGACTGAACCGGTTGATTCTGCTGAAGTTTATGAAGTTCTGGTTGAAGTGTCTGTGACTGATTCTGCTGATTTATGAAAAAATTATATTTAAAATATATTTTATAAATAACATAAATAAAAAATTATATGAAAAAATAGCTAAAATGGTCATCTACAGTAACTTCCGCCAATACAGTCAGAAAAGTAACTTCAACCTTACTTTTTCTTATTATTACACAATTGAACGTGCGAAATCAAAAGTTACGTGTTTGGTTAAAAAGTTGGCTGATATATAAACTTGATAAGCCAAAAACAAAGTCACCAAACGGGTTCTAAGACAACCTAAAATCCAATTCCGCCAATAAACTCAAATATTAATTATTTAATTATTAGAATCCAAAAATCACGTATTCCCTTCATCCGTCCAGTTTTCACTACAACTTAACCTAGAAAGACTCAATATATTCACCAAGCATATTTTTTACAGTACATATCAATAAATAAACTTTGAACACATTTGTAGTCCTAACTTACCCATATGTAATTTCAAATCTTGTTTGGGAAGTCACGACAATAATGAATAATTATATAGATTTTAGAGATAAATTTTTACACATAATTGTTTACAAAGAATAAATTTTTAAAATTTATTGGTAAAAAATTTGATTATTGAATACCTTGTGTTGGAAAGTGACGAGGGGGTTATTGGCAATGTCAAACAAAACACGGCGGTCACGCAAGCTCAACATTTTGCCCCTAACCTTAAACCATTGGTCGCCGTAGATGTCGTTGACCGAGATGGTACTGCCTTCCATTAACATCATCATCTTCCTAGTAACGTTCAAATCTATCACATATGGCGCCAAGTAGTTTTGGCTGACCACCACCACCGGTTCCGCAACCGCTTCCGGCGGAGGTGTCGGAGGCGGGTGGCGCAATGCTGTTATCATCGTTCATTTAAATTTATCAACTCCCACAAAATTTTATTTTCATCAATTTTTTAATCTCCGGGAGATTTTATTATATTAGCCAAATGCATGCATGCATGGATGCATATATCTTCGATGAAGTTATAGAGAGGTGCAGAAAAGTGCTGAACCATTGGTGAAAATTGAATAACTACTCGTAATTTATTTATTTACAATTCCATTAAAAACACACGGAAAAGTTAAAGAAATGTATGTATCAATACACAATATCAAGGGCAGGTGGTGCCGTGGTGGATTAAAGCCCTTAGACGTACAACTTTTTCAACTTTCCTATTTTTTTTAACAAGAAACCAAATTTTATTGAGGGAATTACCGGATAATGGGAAAGTCATTTAGGTTACCAAATTACGGGAGTCGGAACAACGAATTCCGACTAGAGATTAGGGTTCATTTTAGGGCACTCCCCGTGTCGGAATTGGGGAATCCGACTGGAGAGTGTGTCGAAATTAATTAAAAAAAACCTAGTCGGAATTGGGGAATCCGACTAGGGTACTGTGATATTTAAAAAAAAAAAACAATGAGGTGTTTAATTGTGGGTCGAAATTAATTAAAAAAAATCTAGTCAAAATTGGGGAATTCGACTAGGGTATTTTGATATTTTTTTATAAAAAATGAGGTGTTTAGTTGTGGTTCGAGTATTTTACCAACATGTACGCATTGTGGTTGGAATTGGTGAATCCGACACGTTTTTGGCCTAGTTTCCCACCAAACTCCTACACTAATCCCTCCTATAAAATCCATTCATTTCTTCTCAAAATTTATAACACACTCCAAAAACACTTCTTTCTTTCTTAATATGTTCATTATTTTTTTTGTTTAGCACTCTCCTCTCATATTATATTTATAATATATACCATATATTAAAATGTCTACCGAGGGCAATACTGTTGTTATGGTTCATTGGAATGGCTCTACATCTCAAAAAGATGATGAAATAGAGTACTTCATACCTCCTAAAGCGGTACTATTCATTAGTGAAGGAGATGATTATACTAGTATACATGAGAATGTTCTAAATCATGTTAGAGGCGGCGGATTTTCCGAAATTAAATTAATTTACGGAAAATTGCCAAAATATAAGAATTCGGTATATGTTGCTTCTAGATTATGGTCCATTCACGATGAGCAGACATGTCGTCATTTTTTCCGGAGCGCTACAAAAGAGTATGATGAATTGCACATTTACGTGGAAGCTTCTGCGACCCCGCCACAAAAATTGACGTTCCACGGAACTCCCATCATCAGTATATGGTCGGAGGAACAACCGCCAAACGTTTCAGAACTATGAATCTCCCGGTATGTATTGTTCAAGTTAATTTAGTAATTTGTAAATTTTGTAATTTAGATTGTTAAATTGGAATTTTAGAGTTAAATTTGGCTATAATTGATCGTTGTATAATCAATAATTAGATATCATAGGCTTATCTTAAATATTATAACATAATGAGTATATATCACTAATATTAGTAATATATGTATTACTTAGTGTATTATATACTTAGACTATAATTAAAGTATATATTATCTCTACTATAATATATTGCGGCTAATTTGATAATAATAGAACGATAATCAACGTGGTGTAATCTAAATAATATTTGTAAATGCATTGTAATTACCAAATTGTTGTGATATATTAAATAATACTAATATCATGCTTAATTAGGCTAATTAGTTTCTCTATAATTTAATATCTTTATAATAATATTACGCGTATGTAATTAATTATATGTGATTTATATATTACTTATATTAATTACATATTTACGATATTGATTTAGACGGAGATAGTATCACGTCATTAAAACGCTATATATAGATCTCTAACTTATAATTTGCCTTAATTAATTTTTTTTAGGCACCGCAAAGTTAAATTTTAGAGTTAAATTTGCCTTAACTTTGAATTTTAAAGTAAAATTTAGCTATAAAATACTTGAAAGTTAGAAAGTGTGTTACATTTAGAATTTGCCTTATATTTCGGTTTTAGGAGTGTAGAAGCAGTTAATTTAGTAATTTGTAAATTTTTAATTAAGATTGTGAAATTGGACTTTTAAAGTGAAATTTAGCTATAAAATACTTGAAAGCTAGAAAGTGTGTTACATTTGGAATTTGCCTTAATTTTCGGTTTTAGGAGTGTAGAAGTACTTAATTTAGTAATTTGTAATTTTTTTAATTTTGATTTGTGAAATTAATGTAAATTGAAAATGAATTTTAGATTTTAAATGTAAATTAAAAATGAATTTTAAATGTATCAAATTAAAATGAATAAAAATCCTCCTGTCGGAAAGCCCAATTCCAACTAGGGGGTGGTTTTTAGAAATATTCTGTTTTATTTTAAGAAATTATATGAATTAAAATTTATAAATTGTGAAACTAAATGTATCGAATTAAAATGAAAAAAAAAATCCTCCTGTCGGAAAGCTCAATTCCGACTAGGGGCTGTTTTTTAGAAATATTCTATTTTATTTTAAGAAATTATATAAATTAAAATTTATAAATTACATTGTTATTTTATTTTGTTTAAACTATAACTTTAGAAATAAATAGAAGTATTTATTTTAGTAATTTTTAACATATTCAAAGTACATTTTATATATAACATTCAAATAAAATGTTATTTATTTTTTGTAGTAGATAATAATATTGAAATTTATGAATGTATCTACTTTGTACAGTCATAAACTCGAGTGAAGAGTCGGATGACCCTGACTATGAAATAGGTTTTAGTAGTAATGCCTATTCATCCACAAACGATGATGGTGACAAGGAAGTAGACACCACTTGGGCCAATGTGGAGCTACAAGAATCCACAGGGAAAGGAACAATTCGATACTAACACTTATACGTAGTATAGGTGAAGTAGAGTTCGTATCCACAGGGAAAGGAACAATTCTCTTTTTATGAAACTTAATGAATAAGGGGGGGGGGGGGGGGGGGGGTTGGTGATGAATGATTTAATTAAATTAAAAACTAAGATGAATGACTTATATGAGATTTAATTCAAAGATAAAAAGGACTTGGCTTTGCTACTTTCCACTTGTTGATATATTTTAGTCGATCCTTGTTATATCTATAACTTATCCCCTCTCGAATAGTCAATCGAGGAGTATCTCCAATTCATCGAGGGTAGTTATTAATAACGTCCGTTCATTAATAACCCTTACTATCAATCAAATGTAGAACAACGCCGTATACCGATATAATAGTAGCATTCAATCTTTTTAACTCCTTGATGAAATCAATTGAGATTGATAACCTCAACACAACAGTTTCGGTTTAACCAACAAAATTAATACCTCTTAAGTCTATTAACCACGACCGTGCATTAATAGACCGAAGTTACTTACTTGTGAAACCACCAACGATTAACCATCGGTTCGTTGATCGTTTCTAGTAGTAATTAATGCCGGAACGTTAACTAATCGTCACTTAGCAACCTTCCAACATTAATATAGAATGAGATTAAGGGAAGAATTAATAATCAAGAGAAGAAGTTAAGAAAATAACTCACAACTTTAATAATCAACAAGCTTCAAAAGCAAAACCAAGAAATGGGAGTTTAGCTCCTCATTTGGAGACTAAATATGCTATAAAAATATAAGAAATGCTATTCTAAACTGAGCTTAGAAGTATAGAAAAAGGGATGATTAAAAGTGAAGGAAAATGGGGCTATTTATAAGTGTTTTACAACACCTTTGGCCGGGTACCCGACCGGGTAAAGGGCCCACCTGACCGGGTGCATGTCAAGATCAGATAATCTTCCATGTTCTTGTGTTTTTGCACGTTAAATTGTCTCGGGTCAAATCCGACCCGACCGGGTGGTATAGGGGACCCGACCGGGTCTGTGCAATTTCCAGTCACCTTCGTTTGTTAAATCTTACCCGACCGGGTCAAGTGTTTATGCCCGGTCGGGTTTCAGCTCCTGGACAGTCCAATCTCCTTTTGCTTCACTTCAAAGTCCTCCTTTTTAACAGCATAATTCCTAATTCTACTTTACAACTCACAAATGAAGATTAAAATACAATTACAATTAAAATCAAACAAATGTTCTCAAATTACTAAAACGGTAAACAATCCACACAAATCAAACATAAAAACAAACATTTATGCACTACTAATTAGTGCATATAATGGGCCAATGTGGAGCTACAAGCCTACAAGAATCGTATGTTGAACTGGTGGATTTTGAGCCTGAAAGGATCGAAGTCGACGCAGTTTACTCTTCATATGATGTACTGAAAGAAGTGGTGACGAGAGAAAACATTCGTCAATTTCGTCAATTCAGAACGGATGACAAAAGAACACGGTCCTGGAAGGCGGTTTGCATAGACCCGACCCTTTGCACTTGGCATATCCAAGCAGGAGAAGGTATGACGTCAAAAAAGTGGAAAGTAAAAAAATATCAACCCCATCACAGTTGTAGGGAGGATCCTAGAACGGCTTGGGATGATAGGATCCTAACGGCCAAGATCATAGCCAGTGAAATCGCTCCAAAAGTCAAAGTCGACCCGGACTACAACATTAAACTGATAATGTCAGACATATATAAAACATTTAATATCCGTGTTTCATATAAAAAACCTTGGAATGGACGTTTGATCGCTCTAGAGCGTAAATTCGGCAATTGGGAGGCGTCATATAATGAACTTCCTAAGTTGTTGGAAGCTATACAGTTTTCAAATCCAGGGACTGTTGTTCATCTGCAATCTCAATCCATTTTTTATAGTGATATATGAATATAGGCAGTTCGTATCAATCCGACCTGACGGGAACCGCCGTTAGGCCGAGGCCATTTGGGGACCTTCCCGATGGAATTGTTTGATGGAATTTTTTGAGCACGTTCATCATCAAGTCTAGTTTATCCATACCAAATTTCATCATCAAGTCTAGTTTATACGATTGAATTTTTAGTTGAAATTTGATATGAGCAAATTAGACTTGATAATGAACATGTTCAAAACAATTCATCAAAAACTTACACCGGAAAGGGCACCAAATTCCCTTGGCCGGACGGCGAGTCCTATGAGGCCGGCCTGACAAG